TGCTGTTTCCTCTACCCTCCCTGCCTCTTTTGTGGCCAGACAACATAGAATTCCGGGGAAACGAATGCTGTCTCAAAATTTGCACATTTCACTTGTCCATTTTCTTTTTGAAGAGGCTTTTGCCATAGGGTGTGTGTGCTCACTGGAGAGAGACGGAGACAGTGAGAGGGAAAAGGCCATCCCAGGAGGGGTGGCCACACTGCAATCCCTTCTCCTCTGTCCTCACAGGATCCTGGACATGCATGCACACGCCTGTCGTGAATCTCGAGCCACCGAGTCTAGGACTCAAACCGCGGTTGACCACATGGGGGTCCAGTGACACAACCTCTGCGCCATGTGCTGGCCCCCACTTGTCCATTATTAAAGAGTTAAAGGGTCGGGGCCTAGAACTTGGGAGCGAGAGATTCAGAATCAAATCCCTTTTTCCTCACCTTGTGAGATTTTTTTGATCTTCAGCTACACTTTTTGGCTTTGTGAGGAATCTTACCATCAATCTCAATGGCCAGCAATGTTACCAGGACAGATCCGCGCTCCATGAATCCCCGTGTATTCATTGGGAATCTCAACACTCTTGTGGTCAAGAAGTCTGATGTGGAGGCAATCTTCTCGAAGTATGGCAAAATTGTGGGTTGCTCTGTTCAGAAGGTCTTTGCCTTCGTTCAGTATGTCCATGAGAGGAATGCCTGGGCTGCCTTGGTAGGAGACGATGGCAAAATTGTGGGTTGCTCTGTTCAGAAGGTCTTTGCCTTCGTTCAGTATGTCCATGAGAGGAATGCCTGGGCTGCCTTGGTAGGAGACGATGGCAGGATGATTGCCGGCCAGGTTTTAGTTATTAATCTGGCTGCAGAGTCAAAAGTGAACCGAGGAAAAGCAGGTGTGAAACGATCTGCAGTGGAGATGTATGGGTCAGTACCAGAACACCCTTCTCTGTCCCCTCTACTCAGCTCCTCTTTTGATTGGGACTATGACTTCCAACGCAATTATGATGACAGGATGTACAGTTACCCAGCACGTGTTCCACCGCCACCTCCTATTGCTCGTGCTGTAGTGCCCTCAAAACGCCAGCGCATATCTGGGAACACTTCACGAAGGGGCAAAAGCTTCAATTCTAAGAGTGGACAACGAGGATCGTCTTCCAAGTCTGGAAAGTTGAAAGGAGATGACATTCAGGCCAGTAAGAAGGAGTTGACCCAGATAAAACAAAAAAGTGGATTCTCTTCTGGAAAGCCTGGAAAAAATCGAAAAGGAACAGAGCAAACAAACAGTAGAGGTGAAGAATTATGATAAGTCAGAAGAGGAGCAGAGCAGCAGCTCCCAGAAGAAAAATGAGACTAATGTGAAGATGGAGTCTGAGGGGGATGCAGGTGACTCTGCTGAGGAGGGGGGACCTACTGGATGATGATGATAATGAAGATGGGGGATGACCAGCTGGAGTTGATCAAGGATAATGAAAAAGAGGCTGAGGAAGGAGAGGATGACAGAGAAAGTGCCAAAGGCTAGGGTGACTCTTAAGCACATGGTGGGGTTTAGAACTCTTACACATTATTTCTTTACCTAGGCGCGTGTCTAGGATCACGATTTTCACCAGATCCTCTCCCCTAGTATCTTCAGCACACAATTTTCACCAGATCCTCTCCCCTAGTATCTTCAGCACATGCTCACTGTTCTCCCCATCTTTGTCCTTCCCATGTCCATTAATTCATACTGCCCTGCACCTGGTCCCATTTCACCTCTTTTGATGCTCCTAGTAGTTTTGTTAAGTCTTGCCCTGTAATTTTGCTTTTAATTTTGATACCTCTTTATGACTTAACAATAAAAAGGATGTATGATTTTTATCAACTGTCTCCAAAATAATCTCTTGTTACGCAGGGAGTACAGTTCTTTTCATTCATTTATGAGTTAGTAGTTGCTTCCCTAGCTGCAAAGGCAGTATCATTGAGTCGAGTAGCACCTGAGAGTAGCTTTGAGTTAGAAGTATGTCTTATGCCCCACATTAGAGTGCCTGCCGGGCTGTTCAACACAAATGTAACAGTGTATTTTTGCGAATGGGAGTTGGCTTGTCAAATGCATCCTCTAGAAAATAGTGTAACAGTCTTAAAATTTGTTTTCTAAAGTTGATATTGTGGGTTATTTTTGTGAACAACCTGATGTTTGGGACTTTTTCCCTCAAAATAAAGAAGTCCTTATTAAACCAGGAAAAAAAAAAAGAGTTAAGGGGTCAGCAGGTGGCATGGTGGTTAAGGTGCTAGACTCCCACATGGCCAACTACCGTTCAAGTCCTGGACTGGTGGCTTGCCTTCTCACTTTTCTTTTCTCTTTCTCTCTCTCTCTGGTCAAAGTAAAATAGAATAAATAAAATTAAATAAATAAATAATTCTTTTAAAAATAGAGATAAAAAAGGGAAGTGTGTGTGTGTGTGTGTGTGTGTTGGTTTTTATTTTTTAGATTTTTGTCATAGGACACGTTCACTTGCTGGAGAAAGAGAGACATAGAGAGGGGAAGTGAGAAATCACTCCCAGAGAGGATGACCATGTCACAGTCCCTTCTCCTCCTTTCTCCTGGGATTTTGGGCATGCGTGCATATGCACCTGACACGATTTTTCAAGCTGCCAGGTCCAGGACTAGAACCACAGTTAACCATGTGAGAATCTAGTGACTTAACCACCACCCTACCTGCTGGGCCCTGTGCGTGTATTTTTTTTTTTTTTAAGTTTATTTTTTTCATAAGCAAGAGAGTCAGAGAGCCAGCACCCCAGCAGGGTCTCGACACCACCACCCAGCCCCAGCCTCAGCCAGCCCCTGATCATGGGCATGCACATGCCTGGTGTGTGCAGAAGTCTCTGGACACAGAAATGGAACCATCCCACGTGGGTCAGCCTCGCAGAGGGTCATGTTTTCCCTTCACATCACTATCCAGCCCCTCGCTTTTAAGTAAATCAAATTTGATGTGTTTTGCTGAGAGATGTGAAAGCTACGAATGCACTTCGATTCTGTGTTAGAGGACTGAAAGGCATACAACTTTACAGGGCTCCTGGGTTCATCTCAGACCCATGGAGACCTCTAGGGCCGAAAACGCTTGCTCCAAAAGTGGAAGATACTCTCGGGGCTGGAGGACATATGGATAGAGAAAAAAACAGTCCATCTATTCTCAGACTTTGCAAATGTAAGAACGTTTAGTAATTCCCTAACATTCTGTGGGCGCTGACAGGATGGTCATTGTGCTACTAATACCTGTTGATTGAGCACATGTGATATCTGAAGTTACTCCATATTCACTCACAAATTTAAATGAATATCTATTGACTAGGGTACTTGCTTATAAAGTTCGTGGGAAAATGGAATTAAATAAGTGTATTGGTGCCAACAAATTTTGAAGTCCATGCATAGTTTTCTCAAAATGCTCAGTTTTCATGAATGCTTTAAAGATACCTCTTATGAATCACAACAGCCTCTGTATCTACCTGGAAAACAATAATGAAGACATTTATTTAGTCTGTAGATAAGAGGTTGCAAATAGGTGAGCCATGGGCTTCCCTAGCCTACAGACATATTTTGTTTGCCTTATTCACTGTTTGCTTAGCGTTGCTGTTGTGGTGATGGTTGGTAATCTGAATTGATTTCCAGTGTTTAAAATCCAGTAGGCTTCTTAGGTAGAAAACCACAGACCTAGTCTCAAGCTCTTCTTTTACCATCTGGGAAACAACCCCAGCAAGCTGACATGGCCCGCCCTAAGCCACGCAGAGCTGAAACTAGATGGCCATCCTTGGCTCTATCTCCTAAGGGTGTTTCCGGTCAGATTATAACACTGAATCAGAAGGCCACAGTACGTACTTCTTCTTATTGTTACCTTCGCCCCTCCTCCCCAGTTTCTAAGAGCCAAGTAGGAACTTGGTCTGGTCAGGCTGTAGAACTACTCAGAACTTTCTTCCCCTCCAAGATGCTGCATTGCAATCATTCCCTCCTTACCCCCCTCATCTCCCTTAGTGTGACTGATCCTCAGACAGTACAAGCATGTTATCTGATTAGGGAATTTAATAAACTCTGAAGTCGATGTGTAAAGACACATTTAATGTAAACTTAAATAATGTCAGCATGTTTCATCTTGGAAAAAAAAATCTATAAGCTCCATCTGGATAGAAATTCAATTCTCATTTGGCTTAATATGCATTAATATCACAGTGTTAAGAACACTTAGCACAGCTCTCTGGAAGTGCAGTCAAATCACAATCCTTCAGAAAGACACATGTAGAAGCCATTTCCAAGAGACATGTGACACACACACACACACACACACACACACACTTGATTCAGCAGAAGAAATCTAACTCAGTAATAATTAGGACCAGAGACATAAGGTAATGAAAACAAATGACTTTATGTTTTGTTTTTGTTTGTTTGTTTGTTTGTTTGTTTTGCTATAGGGCGCGTGCA